GCCTCCTTGTCCTTGTCTTCCCCGTGTTGACGTCACACGCGGGAGGTCACGGTGCCGAGGGCTTTTTACTGCGGAAGTGAACATTTATTACAAACAACAAGACGCAGATCGCTCACTGTACGCTCACCGCTCATACTCCTCCCTGTACCTATTTCTTATATGAAATCTATCGGTATTCATCATTTTCCTACACATTATTCACAGGTGTCTTTAAGCTGGGACGTTGCTCTTTAAATAGCCCGGCTATATACCTATGACCCATTCTTTACTTATTTAGAAATATGGTTTGAATGGAGTAATTTGAGTTGTCTGATGCCCTTGATACAATTTGACTTTTTAACATGACGTGTTTTATTCAAAACCATTTCCACACACAATGTCATGACTTTTTCAAGATCTTTTAGACAAACTATGACTTTCTTTAATATGTTTAGAAATCCTATACTGACATTACAGACAAACTATATAATATAATTATTAACTATATACTATACTTGGACTTTTTTCAAGATACTTTTGACATACTATACTAGTACTTTTAAAATAAATGTTCGGACATTCTACACTGTGACTCTTTTTTAATTAAATATATGAAATACTATAGGCTACTATGACTAGGATTTGTACAACATACTGGTGTATACAATAACCGGTTTCATATTTTGACTTCCTTCATGATATTTTCATAATGTTCTATTATTTTACCTCTTTTTCTCTATATTTTCAACACACGATGACCGTTAGGACACTCTGCTATTTAGTATTTACCTTTTTTTGTTTTCGATATATTATTAAACTATGTCTTTTATTGAGATATTTTAATTTTGTTTTTTTTTGTTTGTTTTTTTTCATGGTATTTTCGAACATAACATACAATGACTTTTTTATCTTTCTTCTAAAAAAAATACAGGCTTTTTTATATATATATATTTTTTTTAAAAAATTTTTTCATACAACTTTTATACTTTTTTCACACTATTTTATTCTATAACTTTTTTCATGTTAGAGCATGTGGACTTTTTAGTTTTTTAGTTGTTCTTTTGTCATTTTTATATAAAGATTATTTTTTAATAAATTTTACTTGAGTACTTTTTACATACAACTTGTAAACGACGATCGTTACCTGCGTCAAAATTTTTAAGGTCGGACATGTGCACAGAGGGGGGAAATTGGTGACAGTAATAGAATTTCAAATTTAGCTG